AACCTGCACAGCTTGAATAATTCAGCTGGCTTTAAAAAATACTTTCTTATTTTTGGCTTAGCTTAATTACAGCAAAGGAATTTTTCGGAGTTGTGGAAAGAGTTTCCTTTAGCAATACTCGCTTTTATTGCTGATCAGTTATGGAAACATGGCTGAGTTCTATCCATTCAAGAAAAGGATGTCATCCTGGCTACAAAGGGTTTTACGGGGCTTTGAAATAGGAACATGCAAGTTATAAACCTTCACATGTCATGCAAAAGCATTTGCCCTTTTTCTTGCTCCTCCAAGCACCAAATCACCAGGCCTAAGTGAGGGGATATTTATAGGAGGGTAACAGGTTTGCAAAATATTTTCCTCTGTGCTCAACCCCGGTAATAGATAATTGATGGCACCATTAGAAAGCAGTTGACTTACCACTGCATTAAGTGACCGACAACTTTATAGCCTGGATTGAGAGAGAGAGAGAGAGAGAGAGAGAGAGAGAGAGAGAGACCTGCCCACATCCACTGTGAAGATCCTGGCTCAGTAAACATCTGAGGTCCCGCTTCCCCAAATTTATTTATTTATTTAGCAGACTTAAATGCCGCCCCATTCTCTGAAGCCTCATGAGTACAACATTTGATCCAGTATTCCACATCCATTCTCTTTGGCATGACTGATTTGCCTTTTTGCTATTATTCCCAATGCAAACATTGTGATTCAAAACCGCAAGCAAGTGCATCAAAGTGTTCGCATAAGGACATGAAACCCGTAAGAAAATGGCAATAGGCTAAGCTGTGATTATACTAAGAAGCCATTTCCTCACAATGGGAAAAAAGTGTAATAGCCTGGACTTTTAAGGTCAGGCTAGTCCAGTTGCAACAGCAAACAGGATGATATTGTTTTCCTGCAAATAAACAACCAACAGAAGAACCTGAGAACACCTGTTGGTGCAGGATCAGACCAATGATCCATCTGGCCCAGCACTCTGTTCTCACAGTGAGCGATCCGCTCTCCATGGTAACCCACAAGGCTAGAGATATGGCAAAGTTCTCCTAATTCAGACTTCAAGTTAACCTTTGGAGGTTCATTAAACCTATGCCAGAATTTGGGGCCCAGGCTTCTGGGTCCCAAACATCTCCTCTGGCCCCAGTCAAAATCCAAGCCAATAAAGTATTCAAGGTTCTCTTGGCCTTTCTGTCATTTCCACCTGAAAACACCCTCTTTCATTAACTACACTGCAGGTTCCCTTAGGAAAATTTTGTCTCCCATAGTCCCTTACATTCCAGATTCCTCTGCCTCCTGAAAAGGAACTGCCCGATCCAAGGAGGGCTTCTGCAAGGTCACTCCTCTTTACCTTGGAGTCGGAACAAGATACACTCATCCTAGAATGTGAAACGAAGCATTCAGAAAACCCAGTCCTGGCGAAAATGATATATTTGCTTTGTGGGATAAATGCCCTAGATGTGTGTTGTGACTTTTTCTTGAAGTTGTAATATTGCTGGAAATAATGAGATGAGTTTTTGTCGTTGTTTTCCAAATCCTGCTTGGAAATGAAACCTAGATGCTTCACTTGTTTTCCTTGAGGATGCAAATCCAAGAAGGATTTCATTAGTGAGTGTTCAAATTACTCGTGCACCCAGCATTTACATAAATCTCATCTGTGGTGCTGTATATGGATCGCCAGCTGGGATTTTGCATAACACTGTCCAGTGTTTCATTGCGATTGCTTTCTCGTGTTTTATATGGAGAACTGGCGAGAGAATGCTCCTGTGAGAAGAAAGTTGTTATCTAAGCTATTCATTTTTGAGAAATCTGTTTTAGGAAAGCAGAATCTCATAACTCAACAAGCAAACCCCTAGCCAGGGTGATCGTCGTAATTTATCAGCAGCACTCAAAAACTCATTTCAAAGTAAGCAAACAAAGCAGAACTGAGCAAGGCAATCAGACACTGGTTGCCTAGAGCTGTTTGCCATGTTAAATTTCCTGACCTCTTTCTGGGGAAGTAAATGAAGAAGTTTCCTGAGGACTGGACACTTGGCTCATTGGTAGGGTACATGTGTTGCATGCAGGCCACAGACACAATTAGTGTTGTCTCCAACTATCAAAATTAGTTGGCTTGCTGGTTGAAACTTGCCTTTTCGTTTTGTTCATTTTGTAGCAGGCCTGAATTAGTACCTTACACTTTCACTGTTATATATGTATGTATGTATTTAGATTTTAATATACTGCCCCATTCTCGTAGGTTCTGGGCAGTTTACAAGAAATTAAAACCAGCAATAGTTAAAATTTCAACTAAAAGCAAGCACATTAAATAAAGACAATCTAGGAACTAATCCAGGAAGCCTGTCAGAAGAGATATGTTTTTAACTCCCTCTTAAAGGTAGCAATCTGGGATGCCTGACATCTCTCTCCTGGCAGGCCATTATTAGTTCACTGCGTTCAAAATTCACTGTGAGCTTCAGAACAGGCATAGTAAAGCAGTATGCAGATTCCTCTCCTAAGGTTGCAGATCTCCTACCACCTTGGACCCTCCAAAACATCTTTGGCCACTTCCATTTTCATAATCGGCACCACCGCTACAATTCTGGGTCCATGGAAGAGGACTTTGCAAGTGCAGCTCTATCCCAGAGATCAGTTATCCTAAGTAGGCATCACATAACTTCATTAAGCAGGCAGGCCACGTGAAATAAAGCCATCAGAAAGGGGGCACATGATGTACTGATGCATGATACTGTGTTGTGCTACATGATTCTAAATCACAGGTCTGAAGATACGCGTGGATATTCTTAGTGCTTTTTTTGTAAAAAACAAAAAAAAGTGCCGGAACTCATGTCGCCTCTGGCAGTAAGCACTCAGCGCGTGACCACACACACCAATCCCAAGCCGAGCATGTCCCAAGCCGGGTGGCGCAGACACAAAAGCAGCCCTCAGGCACTATGTTAATGATGTTTGCTGCTGACCTGCTACGCCGACAGGCGATTCAAAATCACTTTGTAAAATCCGTTGAAAGGAAAGGTGCTGGTGCGTTCTATGACCAAAAAAAAGCCCTGGATATTCTGCATGTGCAAAACCTCATATGGGAGAACAAGATTGCTGGTTGATTGAGATCACATGAACTAGATATGTTGGAGAAATCCTCACCCCATTCAGATGAGTTTAGATATCTGTGAATCTTACATGTGAATTCTATATCAGGCTGGCTTTTTCCAGGTTGCATGGATTCTGCAAAGGTTCAGGCTGCTTTTCTTTCACATTTTTCAGTGGAGGGATTTGTGGAAGTTCACATTCATGCTCATGCGCATTAGTGGCAGTGTGCAGTCGCTTAAGCAGAGCAGGATTCCAGTACGTTCCTGAAAAAGCTCTGATCTGGTGAATGAGTAGACTATAGAATGGAGGATATCTAACAGTTTGGAATGTCCACAGGTTCGAGATGGTCTGTCCGCACCAGGGACACAAGCATTGCTTTCCAAGTAATGAATGAAACCACCCAGGATAAGTTTGTCCATCATGAGACTCAATCTCTAGGCTATCCTGAATCTCTAGTTTAGAGCCCTGAATGAGGCCACCTGCCCCACCACCTGCTGTCCAGGAAAACCTGCTGAAATGAAGGTCTAGGGGCCCTGAAGAACCCCGTTGCATCGCATCCTTCTGAGGAGCTGGTTCTTCGCCCACATGCGCTTCATCTCCTGCAGCTCCCACTCCCTTTGAATCTTACTGCCTAAGATGCCCTTCTCTCTCCTGTCTGTATATCCCTTTTTACAAATAGGGTCGCCATGCGGATGCAGGGTCCTTTACTTACTTCAACAGAGAGATGTTAAAGAATCTGTAAATCAGCATTATTGGAATCCTGAGCCCCAGGTGTTTCAATCGCACCGCCTCTGTTTCAAAGGCCATGGAGAGGCGCTGCCAGTTGGAAGAAGCATTCGCAAGAAAGACTTGGTGCCAAGGAGCACCTAAGCAGAGTCCCCAGTTATATGAGCTCCCCACCTCACATTGCTGAGGGCAGGATCAATTTTGTCTACACCCTATGCTACAGGGGAACCTTCTAGACCTTGTGGTTGCAGCTAACCAAGTCAGGCTGGATGGTATCTTTGCTCCTGTTGGCCTGTGGCCCAGTGTTCCCAGTGGAGGTACGTGGAAACCAAGGCCAATACCTGCACAGTTATATTCCAGGATTCAGCCGGGAGCAAGACTGGGTAGTGGTGAATCCTCCACAGTATAATACTTCTTCCTGACCCCAGGATGTAGATGGGCATGTAGTGGGCTTCTCCACCACAACTGAAACCCTGACGTCTAGGCTGGCATGCTAAGGACCTCTGCTTTCCCATTCGACAATGTCCCTTCTTAGTCTGGCTCTGGGAAGTGGTTGGAAAGACACAACCAGGGAGGGTAGGATATATAATTCTGCCTTGGGAGACCTGCTCTATCTTCTCTCTGGTTTGCACCTCTGAGGGATGAGTGTCTTATTCATAGCATAAAAGCATTTCCTGTAGGCCCCTTAGAAGTGTGTTTTTTTTTTTTTAAATCTAGGCCACCCTATACAGCAGTGGAATACAATCATCCTTTTATGAAGCTGGTGACAATCTGGAGATCTATAACAGTTTGACCAGAATCTGCCTGTGAAAGTTCTCCTCTCAATAAAAGGTCTTCCATCTCTGATGCCACATCTACATAATTTTTACATTCGTACCATCAACTTGGTATCCAGAATGATAGAAAAAGAAATACACTAATCAAAGTACAAATATCCCTGACAGTGGGTACACACAGGCATGGAAAGTCACATGCAAATGCTGTGAACAGGATGTATACCGAATGATTTAATGTTTAACAATGATCTATGTAACATTTCTAGCTCCCCGAAATAAAAGGCAGAGAGATTTGTGGGGAATTTGACACATAACTTCTGCTGACCAGGACGCTGGATGTTTCCCACCAGTTTCTGCTCGCTAGCTAGTTGAGAGACAATGTTGGACCTGGATCCACTCAGTTGGTTTTACCTCATCATCTTAACGACGATGGTTGTGGTCGGGCTGATGGGCAATGGATTCATCACCCTGGCCAACGGCTGTGCCTGGGTGGGGAACAAAGCACTGCCACCATGCGACGTGATCGTGATGGCACTGAGCGCGTCCCGACTTGTTTTTCTTGCGCTGATTCAAGCCGTCCATTGCGTCTTCTTTATTGATTTGAAGCTACGCTACCTGCCGACTGCCCTTATTTTTATCTGGGCATTTTTAAATGCTTTCACTACATGGATGGCTACATGCCTTGCGGTCTTTTACTGTATGAAAATCGTCAACTTCACCAAGCCATTCCTTGAGAAGATCAAGCTCAGCATTTCAAGCATGGTTCCCCACATGCTTCTAGGATCTTTCTTGGCTTCCTTGGTTGCCTCTCTTTCTTTTATCTGCATGCGATTTTTTCCCCAACATTGCAACAGAACAATGATTCTTCTCAGTGGCAGCAATCAGACGTGTTCAGTTTGGACTCCTTGGACTTCTTATTCATACATCATAGGGACATCCCCAGCTTTTATCATATTTTTAATTTGTTCAGTCTTCCTGATTAACTCTCTTTTGCACCATGTTAAGAAGCTGAAACAAAACAAAGATGGTTTTAGAGATCAGAGGATGGACGTCCATGTGAGAGCTGTTAAGACCTTCATCTCATTCCTCATCCTCTACAGTGCAACCTTTTCATCCATGGTCTCAATGACATTGCTTTATAGTGAACTGGCAGTTGCTTTGTCCAAAATTGCTGTCATTGCATTTCATTCGGGGCATTCCGTTGTTTTAGTTCTCACAAATACGAGACTGAAGCAAGCCCTAGGGAAGGCTTTGTGTGGTGCCATGGGTCACAGCGGAAGAGAAACTGCATCATCTTCCTGTCCTAAGACCTCCATAGAAAGTTGTCCTTCTTAGGAATGCTCCAATCATTTCGGAAAATTTCACTACTCTTGTCAAAACCTTTCCTTTTTTTTCTTTGCATCCTGAACAGTCATGAGATACTTTATTCTCAAGCATTAACATTCATGTTTACCAAAACATTTCACTTTAAACAAGAGAACGTGGCATTATATGGAAGTATGGAACCTAGAAATGGACAAGACTGTCAATTTTATTACTGTCAGTTTCTCAGTTTTCTAATCTTGACTAGAGCACATCCCAAACTTGTTAAAGGTTTGCCTGAACATTCTCGGACAATGTTTGCATGTTTCCTGTTACATATATTTTTTGCATGCAGTGAACGGTTTAGCAAACAATTTTCCTACTATAATGCATGTTAATACTACTTTTCATTAGCCCTTCTGGTGTGCATTTTCTTGATTGAACAACACCATCACAGAATTCAGAGGAGCGCCAGTTTTGAAGAATAAGGAGGTTTGATTTGCATATTGCTTTGAAAATGAAAAAGTAGATACGTTCACATGAGAAAGCAAACCAAAGTGAATTCTTATGCCTCTTTACTCAGACCTAGGAAGTGAGGAGTTTTTCAGTTTCCCTTTCTATCACATTCAATTTAAAAAAAATGAACTAATTTCTTCCATCCTGCTTTTAAAGAAGTTTGTGAATTATGGTAATTTTGTATCAAAAATGAACCTATCAAAATACTCACCAAACTACATCCATCAAATTCAGTAAGTATGGCTATCCTGCATGTAGAGAGCCCATGTTATATCAGACTATATATATTAAAGATGATGGGCCAGGGGGCGGGGGGGGGGAGGAGAGAAAGAGAGAGAGAGAGAGAGAGAGTTGGTAGTCCCAGTTCCCCAGTTCAGTACCATGCATACAGATGAACATGGGGCTTCAAATGCCATTTAAAGACTCTTAAACATTCAAAATACTTTCTCTGGATGGACCAACCTCTGCTTTGCTTTTTCTCCTATTCAAATGCTTCTCATCTCAACTTCCCATTTCTTGTTTTGGTAAGTGCGATTATGAAGCAATTTTAAAAAGAATGAACAAGCAGAGAAGTACTCTCGCTCCTTTGTCATGCAAATGGCCCTGGGGACAAGGGGCCCCGGCAGCTCTGGATGGTCTATCCTGATCCTCTCATTGCTGACCTTTGCAGCAGGGTGAAGTTCCTCCAGACCGACGTCCATGTTTTCCTTGAAAACTGGTTTGTTTCATTAGCAATGGTTTGCCTGGTCTTCTGAGCACCAATCTTGGAGCTTGGGAGCATCTGCATTTTGGCTTTATTTGCACTTTTTCAGAAATGCAAATTTTTGCAAGTGCCAATTTGTACAACTGTGAACTAAATGCAAATCTGGGCAATCAGGGAACAATCCTGACAATCCGCAAAATGTAGACAGAATAGAAAAGGTGGGGTAGTGATCCAAGCAGTTTGCTGCCCAGATCTTTTCAAGGAAAGGGTCTGCCTTGAAGGAAAGATTGTTAGCCCAACTGGCCTGAACAGGAGAGGTCTAACCATTTCCAAATTGTTATTTGTTTGTTTATTATTAAACTTATATTCTGCTTTATTAGCCCAAGGGCTCTCCAAGCAGATTGTGATAAACTAAAAATGCAATATATCAATAAAAGCAATCAAATAAAACACATAACAATATCCAGGAGGCAAGAACAGTACATGGCTGAGGGATAATAATGTAAAACAGTATAAATTAAATCTACCTTTATAATTATCAAGATAAAATCAATTCCTGAAATGTTTAGGAAATAAAATGGTTTTTGCCAGGTGCCCAAAAGATTGCTAGGAAGGCACCAGGTGACCTGCTTTCAGGAGGCTGTTCCATATTGAGAAGGCCCTTCTACTTGCCACGCGCCTTAACTTCTTGGGGGATGGCTTGTTCAGAAGGATCTCCAAAACTGATCTTAGGGGCCAGGTGGGTGCATATGGGAGCAGGTGATCCTTTGGGTATCCAGGCCCCAAAAGTTCAGTTTCAACTCTCCAACTGGCTTTTTCCGATGCTAAAACAGCTGGACCCTTTGAGAGTCGTAGTTTGCCTCAGGATCCCAGCCATACAATAGGTCAAGAACAAATGGTCACTCCAGCTCCCCTCCCTAGGAAGGGGAGCCTGGTGGTCCCATTGAGCTTCAAGGTTCCTCCAAGAGCTCAGCATTGCTCAGCTTCCTAGATGCTGTTCCGACCACCTGCTGATTGTGACAAGCACTGCTAATTTAAACAGACACCCCCCTCCCAGTGCTTGCCAGCAAGAGCCTCCCAGGCTTCTTGGCACAGAGCTGGTTCTCTGTGCTCATTTGGCTGCTTGGTAGATTGTCAAGAAACCAACTCGGCCAAAGGTGTCCACTCGCACCTGCAACACTTCAGTGGCTGGGTGGGAAAGCAGGTGGTGGCCAGGGATGCGGGAGGTCCCTGCACTGGCTCCAGAGGAGAAGGGCGACCCACATTGCCATGGGGCGGGAGCAGCTCTCCTGTGAGAATGGTCAAACTGTTGGACAGAGCCTTGAGGAAGGCAGGGTCCAGTTCCCACACAGTGTGCAAGCATTTTTAGGGAAAAGTGGCATTTAAATATCAGCAAATAAATAAACAAAGGCAATCTTCCCATTTTTCAGTGAGCCAGCTCTTTCTGAGTCGCATGCATCCCGCCAACCAAGCGTTTCTAGCTTCTTTACTTTTGCACTTGCCTCAGTTTGCGCTTGCTCTCACATGCATCACTGCCAATTTACTCTTTTGCTAAGGCAGATTTGCACGGATGCATCTCGGCATCAGCATGAGCAGAAGAAAACTTCTGACCATACCTAAAGCAGGATCCAGTTCCATGAAGAAGTGGGTGGTGGGACGAAAGGCACTGATGCTCTGCAAAACACGGAGCAGACTCAACACCATCTGCACTTTGCCGAAGTGCTGGCTTAGTGAAGAATGCATAAGAAACATAGAAACAGAGCAAGCCGGAAGGAGCCTCCTGGGCCATCTAGTCTGACCCCCGGCTCCAGTTGACTCCGCTCATGACATGTCCACCGTGTGCATGTCCAGCCTAGCCTTGAACACCGATGGGGCCTCAACCACCGCCCAGGGAAGCCCATGCCATGCCCTTGGGGTCCGAAGTGTCAGGAAGTACTTCCTGGCATCCAAATTGAACCTTGGTTCCTTGAGCTTTGCTCTGTTGGAGCACGTCCTGCCTTCCTCTGCGGGGGAGAACAGGTCTCTACCCACCTCACATACCTACAGTATATTTCACCAACAGATCCCCTCGGAGTCTCCTCTCCTCCAGGCTGAAGAGACCCAGTTCCCTCAGTCTCGCCTCATACAGCATCCCCTGCAAACCGGCCACTGGACAAGAGGTGGCCAGCTGCAATGGTAGCATCTTCTCATTATCTCCTCCACTTCACCACATCTTGCAGGAGAACAGCTCCAGAGGCCACCTCCAATGAGAGCTGGCAGGGGGCATCCAGGCCTTTTCAGGGTCCCTGATCTTGAGAAGACAGAATGTTCTGCGTGCACAGCAGTTTTCATGGAGGTTCATTGCGGGTGTTAGGATCCATCCATTCCCTTCTTCTGTGTGAAGAACAACATCTGAAAAGGGCTTTGATAACACCAAGATAAAGGCATAGAATGGCTTCACTGAAAATGATGGAATCTCTTTCCACCTTGCACAGAAGCAAAGAAACCATGGCTAGCTGAGTTATGCCATTTTAGCTCTGTAGGGATGTATTGAACCCTCATTTAAAAAAAAAAAAGCGACAGAGAAGATGCATATCACATCAGGGCTTCTGCTAAACTGGAAGCATATAAATGTGCTCTTGGAAGAATAGAGGTTAGAGAGATACTTCAGATGCACTGGGAATAGTTTTACTTTGATTTTATGCCATAGTTTTGAAGCTTTGTATTACATTTTATCATGCTGTACTTTATTATTGTCTTTGTCGTGTAGCGCTCAAAGTGTTACAACTAGTAGGTTGGAGAGAAATATTACATAAAATACATCATCGACACTCACTCTAAGTTTGCACTGTTAGCTTTTGTGATTACTCATAAATATATAATATTTTATTAATTTCCAGTTGATAAAACATGTAACTTCAAGAAAAGATAGCATTTTGTGGTGAACTGAGAATTCTTTCTAGAGATGTCAGAGATATCTGCACCAGATTCAAATGAGTTTGAACTTCAAAGATTCTGATCTACAGACTTTGCACCAAATCAGCTTTCTCTGAGTCGTATGCATTGTGCAGACTTGTAAGCACTGTTATTTTATTTAACATCATTTTATGCTGATTTAGTTGCAGAAAAATGTGTACAAATTAATCATCATCACCATCATCATATTATTATTAATAGTTTTTATTTTTAATTGTTTTAATTATTATTAAATAATTAATAGTTGTTAAATAAATTAATAAATTTTTAATTTTAATAAATTTTAATAAATTTTAATTTAAACAATAAATTAATAAACTAAAATAAATTAATAGTTTTAATCATTATTGTTATTGTTGCTAATAATAATAATAATAATAATAATAATAATAATAATAATTCTATACTGCTGCACAGCCAAAGATCTCTGGGCAGTTCATAACAACAGATAAACACAATAAGAATGAAATACAACACAGCAACAATTACACATAATACAATGCAATGCAAGTAACCACCAAGCCAAAAATGCACCCTTCCCCCATAGGTTAAATATGAAAACATGCATTTTCCAGGGGTTTGCCTATTTGTCTTTCTCATTTCCCAGGTTTATCTGTTTTCAACTCTGCAGGTTTGGTAAAGTTTTATCACAACCAAAATCATATTTCCAGCCATCTGTGCTCCCAAGGCATGGGCCTTCCAGGGCGCTTTGCTCGCTTTTCTGGAACCCGCCATTAGGAAGCGATGCTTAGTGTGTGTACCAGCCCTTCGCAGCCTAGCCAAGCTCGCTGCAGCGAAGCTGGGAAACGATACAGACACCAAGCAACCTTGGGCAATTCCTTTCTACTTTAACTGGCGCGGCTTTGACGAAGCGTCTTCCCCTGCTGTCATCTAGCTTGAAGAAAAGATGACTTGTGATGAACAGCCGAAGAACACACTCGGCCCGTCATTCAAGCACTCGTGCCACATTTCAGTTAATATCTCATGCATCATGCTGTGATTATCCGACGCTGGTGCCTGGAGTCTTCCCTTGTTCTAGAAAGCAGGGATGTGTGGACCATGGCAGTTTTAGTTCTCCAGCAGCACATGAACACATCCAGACGTGCTGTCACTATAGTGCAGGGCTGGGCCGCTCCGGGGAGTCCGGGAGCCAATTTCTGCCCTCAAACCACACCGGGGGCTCCACCTCCTGGTATTACCAGCGCTGAGTTGCTGATGCATGCTGGTGGTAATTCAGAGCTAGGAAAGAAGGCATATTTCTCCTCTGAAATACAGCACGTGAGGAGTGGGCCCTTCGTTTTAACCCAAAACATGCTCCTGGAAGTCCCTTGGGATGCGGCGTTGCATTAAGACACAACTGGGCGCTGCAAAGGGAGAAGCAGGCTTTTTTCTGTGACATGTGGCAGCCAGGAACTAAAAATGATACAGAGATGCATGCAGCCCAAGGACCTTGTGTTGCCATGGGTGATTTGGAAAGAGGAACCAGTGCCTGGAACCCTAGTGTGTTAGAGCAGCCAGGAAGAATCTTAGCACATCCCCAGTGGATCAATATCCAGCGTCATGTCAGGACAGTTAAAAGGAATTACTTCTTCGCACTTCTCTTTCGCACATCTGGATCAAGGGGGCTGCGCATCTGGAACAAGTTGGAACTTCACCGGAACTCCATTGCAACTTTCTTGGAATGGTGGCCATATGACTTGTTCTGAAGGGCATTCTGGGTGTGGAGGAGATGGGTGCCACAGCACCCCACTACCCTTGAAACAGGGCATTTCATGGGTGGAGATATATTAACAGCCAACAGAGTATATTTGCAAGGGAACTTGGGTAAATTTGCTCCCCCTCCATCACCCACCCTTGAAAATAAGCTTATGTCCTGCAAGAAGTGCCTTGAAAACTATGGGGTAGTGGGAAAAGAGAGATCATTTTTTGCCCGAGGATCTTAACATCTGACGTCTGACAACAGGGAGAGAAGAGGAGGAAACAGTAGCCAGATATGAGTTGGAGCAAATACATATTGCAAATATCAAGTGTTCATAGGGGCAATTTGGATAAAAGCCCACATGAAACAATACCACAAATTTGCATACTCTGAAATAGCACCAGAATAAAGTACACAGTGTAGTTTTCAAGCGACTTCCTTTGGGGAATGTGTTTGTGTAGGATACCATACCAATGGAAGGAGAAAGAAATATTCTACTGGGACAGATGAGTGGTCTGTGCTGACTGGCATCCCGGTTCCAGCAGAGGACAGATCTGGATGTTATCCTTGAAGAGTACCACTGGAAGGACCTCTCAAACATAACTGATGACCTGTGGATATCGGTGGCATCAAGCAAGACGAGACAACAGGTGGGTGTGAGTCTAAGGATGTCCACTCTGATTCACACCACCTTTCAGATTGTCATCATGTTTCCCAGTGTTGTGGGTGTGGTAGCCAGTGGATTACATCGACTGGGTGAAAAAGAAAAGGCTTCCAACCTGCGACGTCATCCCGATGTGCCTCAGTTCATCCCGGCTTCTCCTCCAAGGAACTGTTCTGCACTGAGCACTCTTCCCAGAGAAACACAAGTGGAATGTGTTCAGAACACGCTCAGTCCTACTGGTGTTGTCCAGCACAGCTTGTCTTTGGTTCGCTGCTTGTCTCAGCGCCTTCCACTGCGCAAAGATTGCCACCTTCACTCATCGCTTCTTCCTGCTAATGAAGCTGAGAATCACCGAGATGGTCCCCCAGCTGCTTCTGGGGTCCGTCTTGGTCTCTTTGATGTCTTCCCTCCCTTTCATCTGGATGGATTACAGTGCTCACCTCTGCAACTCCACCAGGAGCCATCTGAAAAATGCCACCTTTGAAAGCCCCATTGGAAACATCTCCTACTTCAAGGTTTTCAGCATGTACCTGACTTGGGCTATAATTCCCCTTCTGCTCTTTCTAGCATCTTCTACCCTGCTAATTGCCTCTCTGTGGAGACACACCAGGCAGATAAGAGACAGCGCAGCAAGTTTCAAGGATCGGAGAACCGATGCTCACATCACCGCCATTAAATCTCTGATCTCTTTCCTAATGCTCTACATCTGCAGCTTTGTAGCCAACATTCTGCTGGGATTCCCTTCCTGCCGAGCTAGAAACAGATGGAAATATAGAATCTGTACACTTGTGATGGCTGTATGCCCTTCAGTCCATTCCATCCTTTTGATTCTCCTCAATATTCGTCTGAAGCTGGCTCTCAAAAGCTGCCTGCTTTACATGAAATGCCATTGTAGAAAAGGCTATTGGTAACTTGCTGTAAATACAGAGGGGTCAAGTCATGCAGCTAGGCAATGGAGCTGAAGGGAGTTTTGGACAGTAAAACCTTAAGCCCTTTCCCTAACGTAAAATAGGCTTGCGAACACCCACATTCCTGTCCTGTTTCTTCACATTCTGCAACCCCATCCAATTAGGGATGTAGCAAAAACCATGCTGTAGATCATGGCATTTGGAAAGACGTATTAGTGTTGCCCGGGTACAATTAAAGCTCATACGATTCTTAATGTTCTTGTTGATCTAGCACCATCCTCAGGAATTATATAAAACCACAAGGCCCTAAATAACCTGTAATCTGAAGTAGGCCTCTACAAATACTTTTAATTTCTAAGCATGTCTTCGGTTTTTGGCTTTCTTTTTATTATTAAATGAAATAACTGGTGGAACCTGCTCTATGTAGAGCCAGGCAAAAGGGAGGGAAACTTTTCCCATTGATGGATGCATTCCAGCAATTGAAAGTGTAGCCAGGTCTCCAGCTTTACAGAGGAAGCGCCTGTATTTGAAAGACTGTCACAGGATAGCTGTGTATTTGACTGTGGGGGGTTGAGGGGTCAGTTTTGGTTTGCAGTTGAAGAACTACAAGAAGGGAGTGCAGGATGTCCAAAACGCAACAGACTGAGCACACTGCATTGCAAGCTGTGCTGGATTTCTACTTAAATTACAGGAATTATGTCTGCAATTGGACTTGTATATCTAAGTATCATATGCATTACTTATACCAACTGCCATTCTCTTCCTTGGATGATGCGTTGTCCCCTTTTGTGTATGTATTTATTTGTCTGTTGAGATGTAAAGCTTGAATTTGTTGAAGCTCTTCAAGTTCCATCCTAAACGTCATATCAGACTGGAAGCATTACTATTTCTACCCCTCTGTTTAAAAAATAGTGCATATTTTCACATGCATTCCCCCAAAGGTATGCATCTGTTGCACACATGTTTCACGTTTACACAATCTTTTCCGATTGATTAAAGTGTGTTTGTGTGCATTTTTCACACGGATCTGTCCTTATGGTGATGGATGTCCTAGAAACCCATTTGGGGGTAGGAATCCATCAGATTCCATGGGCAAAGCTCTCAGACTCCGGTCTGCTTGGCAGTGGTCCAAAGTACCAAGTTCCTGGTGACAGCACCTAGCACTTGAGGGGCACCAGGGAGGAAACGAGTCCATGGGCACTCAAGCAGAGTCTCTTTCCTCTACAGTTGCCACATGGGGAAGAAAGGGTGCCCGGCATGCCCACTCATGGTCCCTCTTTTCCACATGCACTGCCATCACCAGCACTGAGAAGGGAAGAAGGTTGGCCACTCCTGGTGCATTTCCACATCCTGCAGCTGCTCTGGATGGGGAAGGCTACCAGCTGTGCAACCAGGGTCCACAAGCATTGGCAGACTTCCTCCTGGTTTGGCTCACTTGGCTTGGCTGTCAGGGGTCACTGGTAACTCCAGGTTAAAAACATGAGTTTAGAAGGTCACATTAAAAGGGTAAGACCTGAGGTTGTGCAGCACAGTTCATATGGTGCTGTGGAGAAGACTGGATACACACAACCAACTTCCAATTGGACAATTTTAGGAAACATAGAACCATAGAAACAGAATGAGTCAGAAGGGGCCTCCCAGGCCATCTAGTCTGACCCCTGGCTCCACTCATGACATGCCTACCATGTGCATGTCCAGCCTATCCCAAAACTCCCTCACCAATGGGGCTTCAGCCACCTCTCATTCTATAACCTTGGGGTCCTAACCATCAGGAAGTCCTTCCTGGCATCCAAACTGAACCTGGTTCCCTGAGCTTGGCTCCATTAGAACACAACCTGCCCTCCTTTGCAGGGGAGATGTTAGCCAGTCCTTCTCCCTGATATGGTGGTTTTCCGTGTGCAGGGATGTAAACCAAGCGGCAGGTTTGCCTGTTCACTGCCATGAGTAAGCGAAGGTGCAATGGGGCAAAGAGTCGTCGCTCTTCTTTCTGCGTGCCTGAGGCAGGATGTAGATGTCACAGTGAAATGTTGACAGAGTTGCATCCCAAGGAACCACAAGCTAAAATGTTCTTTGGCGTTATTTTGAAACTGGTTCCTGTTCTTAGAAAAGCAAGACAGTGCAGCACAAGCTTCCTTAACCTGGTGCTCTCAGAATGTTTTAGGCCAGAATAGTTGGAGAAGGGGGAAATCCAGCGGGAAATGCAGGATATTCAGAATCATGCAACTGTATGATTCTTCTCCATGCCATGGGAGTAGAAGTCCTGTCCCCCATTATATTTAACATCTACATGAAACTGTTGAGCAGGGTCACCCAGAGTCCCAGCTGCAACCTTAGAAAAAAGACTCTAAGGTCAGAGCTGGGATTTTGATCTCAGAGGTCTTCCTTCCACCCTGCAAGCTATCACAGCTGGGCTCCAAAGACCATCTTCAGAGTTGGCACGGGGAGGGCCAGTCCAGGGGGCAGGGAAACGAGGAACACGGCCCTGCAGACCTGCTACTTCAACCCTTTCTCCTTATGAGGTGCTCTTGAGGGTGGAAATCAGTTCTCTAATGTTTTGCAGGGCAAACAGACTGTGCAGGCAGACCTAGTCTGTGTTCTCCCACTTTCCACGGGTTGCTCATGATTCTGTAATCCTTTGCGTTTAGAGGTCATGGGCAGAATATTACTTATCACAGCTGAACCAACCAAAAGGTTCACCCCAGAATCAGTCCACAAGCCAGCAAGACTTCCATGTGTACACAAGCCACTTCTTTTGTTTTGTTTTGTTTTGTTTTGTGTTTTGTTCTTGCTTTTTGCTTTCTTGTTTTGTTTGGGTGGGACACACACACACACTCCTCTTTGCTCAATGTTTCACCCTGATGGGAGTAACGCTCTTGCTAATTTAAGAGCCCCTGCATAGCAATTCATCCAGGGCTTCACCTTTCTGAGCACCTATTTTTGTCCCCAGCCCATTCATTATCTTTCCACCTCAGTTTAAGCTTCCTCCTGTAGGGATTCAAGGAGATGCTGATCAAACTGAGCTGGTGACAGCCAATGGGACGACTGGCTGCTGCGCTGGCCTTCTGCCGCATTTCAAGCGGCCATTCGTTAGGCGCTGCTGCAGGGATTATTTGACATACCGTCCAAGATATCATGTGTCGCTCATTAGAAGCGCACGGCGCAGCCATTCAGGACTGCTGAGAGCCAAATATATCTGATCAAATGAGGTCAGCGTAATGAAACTTTTCCTGTCACAGAACAGTTGCATTTGTAAGAAAACCAGGACAAATACTTTTCTTAAAGGTATATGAGATGATAGTTCCATGCACTTGGGCCTGGCTTAAAAGAGGGGCCAGAATGCGTGTAGCTACAACCATTTTTCATCTTTTTTCTGCAGTAGGTAAAGATCCAGATCTGAAAACTCCATGAACCATTTGCTAAGGCCTATGACTACTGGTTCCAAGATGATGGCAATATTGCTCCTAAAACTTATTTAATGCAATGTCTTGTTACCAAATGTCTTATATTTGCATTAGGCTTGCTTGCTTGCTTTTTCCTTCCTTCCTTCCTTCCTTCCCTCCCTCCCTCCCTCCCTCCCTCCCTCCTTCCTTCCTTCCTTCCTTCCTTCCTTCCTTCCTTCCTTCCTTCCCTCTCCCTTTCCCTTCATTGTAATCAGTGGCTCCTGCAAGGGTCAATCATTATGTGAAACAGTTTCTTCCAGGGGCCAGTCATTTCTCCAAAGCTGCTATTTGCATGGGAAAAGATGTATCCACTGATGCTGAATGCAAAAAATAAAATAAAATAAAATCAGTTTATCCCCAAAGCTTGGCTGCCCAGGTTGATTTTGAATCAGTTAAAACGTGCATTTTCAATGCAAAGGCACATTTGGTGTGGCGGCTGGTTTGGCCCTCTCTCCTCTACTTTAGAAGTTGGTAGAGAGAAGGACTGAACCCACCCTCCTGTGGGTTAGCAATTTAATAAATAGATAAATACATTTGAATAAACAAGGACACAGTGCAAGTTGGGGGTAAGCAAGATGGTTTGGGCTGCAACTGTCAGAATTTCTCAGTCATAGGAGCTGAAGTCTGAACACCCAGAAGGAACAAGGTTTCCTGCCTCTGTTGACATGCCAAGTGCTATTTTCTTGGTGGAAAGCTGCAATATAGAACCATCGATGGAAAATATAAGATGACCCGACATGCCATTGTTATACCGTGTCTATGTATTACACAAGCATATGATGTATAGAATTGACACAAGCTGGGCAGTATCCTACACTGCCTGACTGTAGCAGAAATGGCTGCTAGCTCATAAAAAATTCGTTCCAGAAAGACTCCCCCCCCCAAAAAAAAATAGCAGATGCACTCATTGGGCAGTTTTGCAGGGCTCACAAAGGGCACTTGGCTGTCTGGCTCCATTCCAGAAAGCAACATTGCAATTGCTAGTTCCAACATCATGAGCTCTCAGGACAATTCAGTAGAGAAGCTGTAGAGAGGAACAGCAGCACAGGATACTGCCCAGAGAATCTATTTCTGGCTGGGGAACTCCATAACTTGTAATCTTGTAAACATTCCATAATCTTCAGGAATTAATTGATAGTCTTTCTCCTATTACTGGCTCTGGACCTCTGCTCCACATCTGTAAAATGGACATATTATTTCTTCTATAAAGCCCATTTCTTCTGTGGTTAAACCCTCATTGAAACTGAGCTGAAGTGTATGTGTATTGATGTGTGTGCACATCTAATGCTCTCGTCCCGTATTGAGTTTTCAGTGCAGGTCTAGCTGGTTGATTTGTGAGTGGGAGGGGCAGGGGGCATCCCTCTTGTCTGGATTGCCAAATTTCCAAATTGCCTAAGAGGCTGCTTGTGCCTATTTAATACGTATTGTGTCTGTCCATGCCACATTTACTATTTTGTGTCTATTTAATATTTACTCTGTTTAAAAACGTATGCCCCATTTTCTGTCTCCATCCCCTCCAAAGGAGGAGTCACTAAAGCAGCTTACAAACTCTTGAAAGGCATA